CAGGCCAGAAGAGGGCACCAGATCTCGTTACAGGTGGTTGTGAGCCACCATGTAGTTGCTGGGAATTGAATTCAGGACCTCTAGAAGAGCAGCCAGTGCTCTTAATTTCTGAGCCATCTCACTAGTTCCCAGTATAACTACTTTCTAGAGCTATCAACTTGCCAAGTGTGGTGGTACACATCTTTAATCCCAGCACTTTGGAGGCAGAATTGGGGGGTTCCCTGTGACTTTGAGGCCCTCCTGGTCTTCACAGTGAGCTCCAGGAAAGCTAGAACTACATAGAGAGAATCTGTCTTAAAAAGAAAAAAAGAAAGAAGTTGAAAAGAAAGGAAAGGAGGAAGCAAGGAAGCAAGGGAAAAAGAAAAATTGTTCACTCTTCATGACCTTACACAAAGACTTCAAAACTAGACTAGAAGAAAAACTCTGCTGACACGGAGGAAGGCTAGGACACTCCTCAACCAGCCATTGGAGCTCACTAGAATAGGCCAGAACAACTGGTTAGACAGAGGTAAGGTGTCTTGGGGTATCCCATGTTCATTATAATACTGAACGTGCACCCCTAGTAAGATACTAAGAAGAGGAGCCGGAGAGATTGTTCAGTGGTTAAGAGCACTGACTGCTCTTCCAGAGGACCTGGGTTCAATTCCCAGTACCCACATTATTCACTAATACTAATTAGTCTTAACAATAAAAAAAAAAAAAAAGAGTCAGATATGGAGGATGAACGCTGAAAGATCAGAGAAGCAGAGCAGCCGCCACCAGAAACTTCTTACCTCTAAGACCAAATCGGGGAAATCCTGTCTCTATGAATCCTCTGGCTGAATAGGCCCACCACTGCCTGGCCTCTATAGTTAACTAGTGCCTAGTTCCACCCTCTGATTTCCATGCAAGCTTTATTTGTCAGAACACAAACAAAACAACATACAACAGTCTGTAACTCCAGTTCCAGAGGATCTGACACACTCACATTAGCAAACTTGTAGGCAAAGCATCAATGCACACTTATGTGCACGCACACACACAAGATACTAAAACAATGGGATGGGATGGGTAATACACACAAGAAAACCTACACTATGCAAATGTGAAGAAATGAGATATAAAAGCCCCATCCTTTGTATAACATTTGGCATGTGAGTTTCTAACTTTTCCCTTGATCTGGTTTTTGGGGTTTTTTTTTTTTGCTTGTTTGTTTTGTTTTGGTTTAGTTGCTTTGATAAAATACCCCAACAAAAGCAGTTTAAGGAAGGTGGCTTTACAAGCCACCGCGGAGAGAAGGTCACCGTGGCAACAGCTTGAGGGAATCGTATCCTCGGTCAGGAAGTGAAAACAATGATTGCTAGTGTTCAACTAGCTTCCTTTTAGGTAATCAGGAGTGGGTGGGTCTTCCATCTCAGTTAACCTAGTCAAGTAGGGGCACGGGCATAACCAGAGAGCTTCCTCTCCCAGATACTTCTAGATCTCAAACTGACCGCTGAGATTAACCAGCACGGAAGTGTGTTGTTTTTTAATTCTCTCACCTTGTTTGCTCCTATCTACACGTCTATGTTCCATTCATTCCTTGTTCTGGGGTATAAGAACCTGTAACACTTCCAGAGGTTCCCAATGAGCCCTGCTATACCTCAGTTCTGCACTTGTGGCAACAATTTGTCATTGTGAAGAGACACCAAAATCAACCCATGGAAAAGCTACAGGGCCCAATGTCTATAGGAAGACGGCCCACGCTTCTGTGCATTGAAGTTCTCCGGAGCTTCGCACACTCCTCTTAAAGCTTCTGTAGCCTGACGGACTGGTTAGATGAGGTGATGGCAGGGGCTTAGAATATTATGGGTGATGAATCAAAACGAGTTAGGATGTCTTTAATCCCCTGTGACAGCCATTTTTACCCAGCACTGTATCTGGCCTAACATCCTACATTCTTTCGACTTTTAAATGAGATTCTCGGAACGTAGTGCTAAGCTTGACACAGCTGGTCTCTACCGACCCCAAAGCAGGTGAGATCTAAAACCTGAACGTGACATAAAAGCAGACAGTTCCCTGCGTTGTTGTGACCTACCTGCTAGATATCCCAGACACTGTACTTGGTAAGTGCGTTCATTTCTGACTTTCTCTCATTCTGTGATGAATAAAATCATCCCCGCATGTGACCACTTTCAAGGTGGAACGTGTCACCCAAGACGATCTGAATCTGTGTCTCCAGACCACGGCCACTTTTGTTTGGCTCTGATAAACTCCCTCTTACTTCCTTTGAAGGAAGAGCTATGTTTTGCCCTGACACTCATTAGAATCCTTGTTCGTGGAGTCACACAGGATGTGATCAGCCCCTCCAGCAGCCAGCCATGACAGCCCATGGGAAACACTGCCAACTAGGGAAGCTCATTAGAAACTCAGGGCCCAGGTGTTTAAATTGAGGTCTCATCACATAAACACCTATTATTGGCATGTACCCAAATCCTCAATTACTGTAAGGAAAGCTTATATTTATCATAAAATATGTGATCTATATAATTAGTTTATATAGATCAAAAAAAAGTTATTTGACAAAGAATTTATCTGTCTTTGTCCCAGGTTCCTGGGAACCAGCCTCTAAATCTTTGGAACTTCCTGAGTGTGGGAGTATCTTTGTTAGTCACGGTGGGCCCAGTAGTTTATACTAACGAGGTGATTCATGAGTTGTTCCTCAGATAACTGAAAGTAATGAGATGATTCATGCTGGGGGCAGGCAGGTCAGAAAGACTTGCCTCTGATTAGAGGGCAGAAGCTTTGGACCTTGAGATACCAGCCCTCTCAGAAGACAGTGTCAAGACGGAGCAACACCAGAAACAGACACACATGCTCGTGACTTTCCACAGTTTCAGAATGTATTAGGTAGCAAATTTACGAGGCCTGATGCTTTCAAAGACAGCAATTTGCCGTTTTCGCGCTTTCCTTGGGCTGGAGACACAGTTCAGGGATTAAGGCATTTGCTCTTCTTGCAGAGGACCTGCCTTTGGTTCCCAGAACCCACAACTGACTATAACTACAGTGCTAGAGGATTCAGCACCATCTCCTGGCTTCCCTAGACACCGGGCACACACATAACGCACATACACACAGGCATTTTCACGCATACACATAAAGTAAGAATAAATAAACATTAAAAAAATAAACTCGCTTTCTGTGATAACGCTGGTCAAGGTCAGCAAGTCAACCTCACTTACTAATATTAACCTCAAGCTTGTAAGTTACACATCACACAGTAAATAGATCTGTATATCCATATTCACACATGCGCCCACACACATTAGAGAATAACTCCAGTGAGTTGAAAAGGCAAGAAGTTTCCAAGACTGAGAGGCCAAAAATCAAAAACTAATAGAGAGATAAGACTTTCTGTTGACAAGAGACGAGCCCCCTAAGCTGAAAGTCTCACTGGAGAAGCCGCTGTGGCTGGGCTGGAAGGCAGGCTGCAAGGTCAGAGCTGAACTGCAGAGTTAAGGTGCACTCCAGAGGTGGAAGGGCGGGACCAGGACTAGATGAACGAATGATAGACAGATGACAGCAGGTACAGACGGGCAAACGGAAGGACAAGCAGACAGCAATTTGGATAGACAGCATCAGCTGCAGGAACCAGGCTCAGCAGAAGCCCTGAGGACAGTCAGGAATTATCTGCCTGTCATTCCTTCCATGTATAAACTGCATAGTCAGAGAACAGATTGGTTGGGGCCATCCTAGCCATAGACATGCTAGGTGCCTGCCTTGTGTGTGTGTGTGTGTGTGTGTGTGTGTGTGTGTGTGTGTATGGTCAGGGGTGTCCGGGGGAATAAGTTACACCCGTTCTCCAGGCCAGTAGGCCCAGTGAGTGGAAAAAAGAAATAAAAAGAAAAGAAAAGGAACATGACTAGGTGGAGGAGAACGTACCCTATAGACATGTGGGAGAGCATAGCCAGATGCAGACATCTGAGAGAGTCCAGAGTAGGCCTGAGCTGTGCCCTGTGAGGAGAGGGAGAGGGGGAGGGGGAGGAGGAGGGGAGAGAGGGGAACCAGGTGCAACAGCCAGGAGGCCCAAAGCTACAAAAAGAGTGGGAAACCAAAATGGCTGAGTTGTATAAGGAAGGGCAGCCCAGTCCCCTGGGTAGGGGGCAGAGTGTGCCAGCCTGGAAGGCCCTGTAACAAGTAGGAACTGAGGGATGCAGGGAGAACCTGGCAGCCAGTGTCTGCTTTGGTATGTTAAATAAGCAACACAGCCCGGCCATGGTGGTGCACACCTTTAATCCCAGCACTCGGGAGGCAGAGGCAGGCAGATCTCTGTGAGTTTGAGGCCAGCCTGGTCTACAAGAGCTAGTTCCAGGACAGGCTCCAAAGCTACAGAGAAACCCTGTCTTTAAAAAAATAATAATAATAAATTAAAAAATTTAAAATTAAAAAATAAATAAATAGCCACCTCAGCTATTTGTCCCAGGTTTGAAACTCAACACCCAGTATATTCTTGGTCTTAGTATTCCTGATATAATTTTAATATGTCCATGTTCCCTTACAATCTCAGTTCACCCCCAATGAATTTGTAGAGGAGAGCCCTTACTACTCCAAAGAGTAAATTATTTATTTACTATGCCATGTGAGTGGAGCTATCCATATGTCAGCTTCGGAGTTATCTTCCATCCTTAAAGCAGAACCAATGTTGCTTACAAAATGTAGTCATTCAAGGGGGTACAGGCTGAAAACCAGCTGCTTTATGCAATATGGAGTAACTTCTTGCCTGCAATCCCAGCACTCAGGAAGCAGAGACAGAAAGCTTGCTACAAATTCGAGGCCAGTTAGGTCTCTACAACAAGGTCAGGCCAGCCGGAGAAGCCCAGCAAGGCCTCGTTTCAAACGAACACAATTTTAAAAATTAAAAAAGAGAAAAAAAGAGAAAGAAACAAAGGAGGGAGGGAGGGAAGGAGGGAGGAAGAGAAAGGAGGAAGAGAAAGGAAATCTGCTGCTAGGAGCCCAGGTGAGCTTTCCTGGAAGATACTTACATCGATGTCCTGGAAGGGAGGGTGTGTCACACCGATCATATGGAAGCTTTGGATTGAAAACACTCCCAGGCTTTGCCCTTTCTCCGTTTGGCTGGTCCCAATTTGCACACTGTGTCCATCTGTAATTATTATGCCGTGAATCATTCCAGCAAATTGATAAGCATCAGGGAATTCTGGGAACGCCAAGTTTATAACCACTTGCTCATAAAAGCAAATTTTGTCACGTGTTCTGGAGGCATTCTTGGTTTCAGCAAGCACTCTACCCCGAGCTCCGCTCCCACCCCCACGGCTGTTCTATAACCTGAGAACTCCAGATAGTGTCGCGATTCTCAGTCGTGAAGGATTTTACCCTAGTACCGTCGAGCCTGAGCTAAAATAAGGTCGCTAGCATCAAAACTGCACCCCAGACAGCCATTCGTACTTAGGGGTGATAGGAATGACGGTAGTGACCAGGGTAGAGACACTGCTGCATTCTGTGCCCCCCACACACACCCTCACCCCACTGCCCTCATTAGGAATCTCCATTCAAGCAGTAGTGCCATCCGTGGCTTCAGGCAGAAAAGAATTGTAGGGCAAGCCAGTGTAAAGCACAACTGGAGATTTATTAAAAGACGTTTTTAATATTGCTCTTCAGCACAGGGGTTAATAGAAAGAGACTCTCAGAGGGGCACACCCAAATGTGGTTATGGGTTTTTTAAGGGAGCGTTATGCTTAGATATCTTTATGATGGGACCGTAAAGGATTTTGATGACTCTCGACTCACAGTTCTAAAGGTTGCTAAGAAACAAGCATGTTCGCTGCCCCAAGCCTTTATTACTCATGGCTTAAAGTGTGTGGTTGACAACAGGGTCAAAAGGTTAAAGCATCTGGTCTTCTAAACAATGCTGTGAATTTATTATTATGCTGTGAGTGCAGAAAGCTCCAGGTTCCAAGTGGGAAGAACAGCTGATCTATTGTCTTCACCATCTTTGCTGACCAGCTGGCAATTTAGGTTTTAGCGATGGATTCCTCCCCTTACTAGGAGAAAAGGCAAACCAGATCCAAAGAGGAAAGGCCCCTTTTCTTCCTCTTGCTTTTCTTCCCATGTCTCCACAGTTTTATGGCTTTCTATCCTGCCTCAAAAACTCTCTCCTAAAATGGGTGGTGGTGGCGCACGCCTTTAATTCCAGCACTTGGGAGGCAGAGGCAGGCAATCTTTGTGAGTTCGAGGTCGGCCTGGTCTACAAGAACTAGTTCCAGGACAGGCTCCAAAGCTACAGAGAAACCCTGTCTCGAAAAACCAACCAAGCAAGCAACAAACAAACAAACAAATAAACAAACAACTCTCTCCTACTCTGCAATCCCAATACTTGCTAAGGGACAATTTGGCAAGCCAGGAGGACAGTTTAGGTCTACCATGTTAGCCCTCTTGTGCACAAGGAGTTTGAGTTTGGGTTTGGGTTTTGTATTTTGTTTGTGGTACTGGGAATCGAACCTAGGGCCTCACCAGCACTCAGCAGAGGTTTGACCACTGCGTCTGGTCTCAGCCCACAAGTAGATCCCTGAAAATGTAAGCAAGAGGAGAACATTTGAGATGAGGATTTATATCAGAAGAAGTTCTCTGCAAAGAAGATTCGAGACCAGGTCATTTGGGAGCTAAAATGACACAAAAGACCTGTCTCTCATGAGTCTGTGGTCTTCATTTGGGGCCAGCCACTGTGTATATATTCCTTCTGTTGTCGTCAGACAGAATATAATGAAATGACTTCTCACCTGTTAACCCAGGTTATGTCCAGTTCATTTAGCTCCGCCAAAGAAGCCACTCCTCCAAAGAAGCCACTCCTCCATTCCCGAGGACGTGTTCATATCCAAGTTTGGTAACTAGGAGTCAAGTTGCTGTGTTCCAGGTGAGTCTGGGGAAATTCCTCCTCCTGCAAAACACAGTCAGGAAAGGACAAAATGGAAAGCAGAGGAAATACTCAGGTTGACAGCGACTGCAGTAATAACCTGTAATGAGAAGCACAAAACGGGGGAGGCACCTCACCGGGTACATCACTTAACAAAGCAATAGTGGTTGCTTCTCCACTGGAACCCCATGACCTCCCTGGTCACAGGCTTTTGGCTAAGTCCCCAGTAGCATCTGTGAATTTCCCCCTGGTAAAGCAGGCCTGTGAGTCCAATCAAAAGGTTGGTTCCATCGATAGCCACTCACTCCACTACTGCAACACGGGCTGGCACATCTGGCCAGCAATTTCCACCATGAAGCATCCAGCATCCACAGCTACATACTTGAGTATGGACTTTCCCTTTCTGTTTCAAAGGCCAGACTCCAGGGGCATCTTCTGTGGCCACTACTTCACTCTTTTCTGTTTTCTTCCCTGACCTTTCTCATAGAGTCCAGGGTTTGCAGTTCCGGGAAGGGCTCTTTGATACAGATATAATTTGGGTTTTCTTTACCCTTCAGTCTCCCAGTTGTGAGAAGCAGCAGGCTGACACCACCATTGCCCCTTCTTTTATCCAATTTACCTAGTAGATAGGAGACCAACAAAGGAAGTCTGCATGACTCTTTTGGGAGGTGAGGGGTTGAGAGAGGGTTTCTCTGTGTAACAGTCCTAGCTGTCTTGGAACTCTCTCTGTAGACCAGGCTGGCTTCAAACTCACTGAGATCCTCCTGCCTCTGCCATCCAAGTGCTGGGACTAAAGGTGTGTACCATCACCATCTGACAAAGATTTATTTATTTTTATGTATGTGAGTACTCTATCTGCATATACATCTTTATGACAGAAGAGGGCATCAGACCCCACTAGAGAACTGAACTCAGAACCTCTGGAAGACCAGCCAGTGCTCTTAACCACCGAGCCATCTCTCGAGAGCCCCAGACTCTTTCTTGTTGCAATTGCTCTCTTATCCCTGCCGCCGGACTTGAGATATCTCTCTTATCACCCATTACAGCAGCCAGCCTGCCCCAGCCGCTGCCTGCTGATACCGTGACCACCCCAGTCACCACTCCCAGTGTCTGTAACGTCTGCTCTAGACCTTCAGCTGTTCTCAAAACATCTCCGTACTCCCTTGGTTAATCCCACCCACCAAGCAGGCATGTCACCCAATACCACACAGAGGACCGTCATCCCCAACAGACATCCCCTCACCTTAGTGGCATACCTCACTACTTTCTGCATTACCCATGCCTCTGCCAACACTGGCAAAAGCACACTGACACATGCTACATGGGAACTGAGAGCCATGTCAAAATTTCCTCCACATATACTCCACCATTAGGTTTCCGTTGCCTGGCTCATTCCCCATATCAAGACACCAGTGTTCTCCCCAAACTTATCCTTGGCTTTGTCACATCCTGCCAACGACACCAAGCATTGCTAAAATTTTTCCCCCGGGGGAGACATAAATGATGTTTATACTCCCCCCCCCTCGCCATCAACCCAATGACAAACCAAGATATAATTTCACCAAAGTTTACACTGGGGAGTTTACAGAGCAAAGTTCACTCTCAGCTTCCTTACAGAGTCACGGATGAGGGTTACGGGCAGGAGCAGGGATGTCCTTCAGGCGGAAGGTCTGCACCCAGCAGGTATGTAGTGATTTGAATGAGAGTGGTCCCCATAGCACGTCTATTTGAATACTTAGATGTTGCAGCCCACAAAACTATACAGTAAATGTACAGTTGAAGAAATGTCCCTAGTGTTAGGATGAGAGCTTTTTAGAGTTAAAAATGAAGACTGTAAGATTTTAATTTAAAAGGAAGCAACAGCAGCTTTTCCTTGTTGGGCCTGAGAAACGTTGACTGCTGAACCTGAGACAGACAGCACAGAGCGGTTAGAGGCAGAGACACAGAGAGTTAACGAGCCTTATAAAGGAAGATTTATTATTCGGTTTTCTTGAACATCTTCAGTGAAACTAAAAAGATCCTGTAGAGTTTTGCAAATTGCTGAAAAAGTGTCCTCTCTCCAGAATCTGTTTTCAGATGAGCTAACCGGTGCTGCGGGAGTACCTTCCGCTGCTTCAGCCAATAGTCGCTGAAATACCAGCCCACTGGGGCGTGGTATATTTCTCTTTAAAAGAAGAGCTGCAAGCCTCGGCTGAGCCTCTTGATTCTGGTGCTTGGTTCCGGCTCCTGCTCCAGCGACCAGGCTCCTTTCCTGACGGTTTGTGTAAGTTTTACCCCCCAAAATAAATATCCCCTTTAAAACCTAACTGGTGTGGGATTGATTCGCCATTAAACCGGAAGCTCCTGTACGCCACGGTTTTTTTGTAAACAAACCAGCAGCGGGTCCTCGGCCATAAAGAGAGAAAGGCAGATCTTTAGTGTGGCAATAGGAAGAAAAGCTGTTGGAGTACTTTATGAAATATTGAGAAATCATCATTTGAGATCTTTAAAGCAGCTGAAGTAAGTCTATCCATGCAGCCTCATGCTATAAGCCTGTCAGTGAAACCTGCTGTGTTATTTAAATATAGGTGGCTGCAAGACAGTTCTCCGCCATCTCATCCTGTCGTGTTCTCTTCCCGCTCCCCTTCTCCCTCCCCGTCTTCTCCCCCTCCATGCTCCTTGTAGATCCCTGCAAGAGACTGCTAATCTTTTAGTTTTCCTGTCAACTTTCTGACAAGATTTTCTTTCAACTTGTCAGTAGCTTTCTATCGAAAAAGTGCTAGCCAGGTGGTGGTGGCACAGGCCTTTAATTCCAGCACTCGGGAGGCAGAGGCAGGTGGATCTCTGTGAGTTCAAGACCAGTCTGGTCTACAGAGTGAGTTCAAGGACAGCCAAAGATAGACAGAGAAATCCTTTCTCAAGAAAGAAAAGAAGGGGGCTGGAGAGATGGCTCAGAGGCTAAGAGCACTGACTGCTCTTTCAGAGGTCCTGAGTTCAATTCCCAGCAACCACATGATGGCTCACAACCATCTGTAACGAGAGCTGGTACCCAGAGCACTGTATACATAATAAACAATCAAACACATAAGTAAATAAATAAATAAATAAATAATAAAAAAAGAAAGGAAGGAAGAAAGAAGGAAAGAAGGAAAGAAAGAAAAATTAAAGTTCAAATGTCCAGGTAGACCTCATGAACTTATATGGACTGGATTCTTAAAACTTCTTATTTATTTTAGACAAGGTCTTACTATGTAGACCAGGCTGGTCTAGATTTCCCAGAGATCTGCCTGCTCTGCCTGAGTGCTGGGCTTCAGGGGTGTGCCACTACCCAGCTTTTCCTTTTATTTTTGAGATGGGATCTTGTTCATTGCCCAGGGTGATTTTGAACCATGGAGTCACGTGACCCACTTGGGACTACAATGCCATCATGTCCAGCTCGAGGGCCTGTGAAAGGATAGTAGTGCTGTCTTCAGGTTTGTCATGTAGAGTTGGCTAGCCTGGAACACACTCCATATACTGCGCTGACAATGAACTCACAGAGATCTACCTGCCTCTGTCTCCCAAGTGCTGGTTTTTAAAGGTGTGTGCGCTCAATGCCTGGCACATGCAAGTAACACTGTACAATCTGAGAAGGTTGTATGTATGTATTTAGGAATATATATGTGTTAGTGTATGTGTGTGTGTGTGTGTGTGTGTGAGAGAGAGAGAGAGAGAGAGAGAGAGAGAGAGAATTAATGAAAAAAGAGGGCATGAATTTGAAAGAGAGCGAGGGGAATGTGGTGAGGTTGGAGGGAGGAAAGGGTAGGAGGAAATGATGCAATTATATTATGATCTCAAAAAGTAGAAGATTTTTGTTTTGTTTTGTTTTTCGAGACAGGATTTCTCTGTAGATTTGGAGCCTGTCCTGGAACTAGCTCTTGTAGACCAGGCTGATCTCGAACTCACAGAGATCCGCCTGCCTCTGCCCCCCGAGTGCTGGGATTAAGGCGCCACCACCCTCAGGCTGAAGAAAAATTGTTTCAAGGATAGTATTGAGTACCCTGTATTTTTATAGTACACCACCTTGAGATGTTTCCTCTAAATCACTGATCCCATTTAAGTTACTGCTTCCTCAGAACCTAGACATGAACCTGTTGAATCCACATGGTTCCTTTCCTTCACGACACTCCATCAGCATGAGCGCCTAGTGCCAATATATTGATTCTCTCTCTGTTGTCCCCACCCGAATTTCCAGGAAGATATGGAAATCGTATCCATTTGCAGGGAGGTCACTAGTATGTGGATCAGCTAGGGACTGATCGTTGAATATACGTTATGGCCAAATAGGGATCCTCTGCCAACAGAACTGTTAGAGACTTGCACTTTAAAGGGGTCACACAGAGGCCAGCCTGAGAAGGCTCCTCAGGACTGCTCAATCCCTGGCCTTGACTTATAGCAGAAGCAATTGTTAGCCAGAAGGCAAGAAGGATGTGGAGCCCATCAGGTAAGTTCACCTGACCCTTCCCGTATGCTAATCACCTGTGCGGCCTGTGTCTGTTAATACCCACAGACCTGCTGTAAAATATTGTGGCAGTTACTCCCCCCCCCATGTAATTCTCCAAATAGTTGAACTCTAACCCCGCAGTATTCTTTATTTCTTTCTAACAGCTTAAAATAAATCTGCTATCCACAAATTCATGACCCATCTGCTGAGCAGATCACTCCATCTGTAGTTTTGGCCCGGCTACCTGATCGGAAGCCTTGCAAAAATGTTTCTGGCCAAACATTGTGTTGATTCAGAATTTAAATTCTCCACTGGGCATGGAAGCTCTCATTTGTAACCCTAGCATTCAGATCTCCTCAGACAAGGAGTTTGAGGTTGGTGTGAGTGACTAGCGTAGGTAAAGTCTGTCTGGAAATGAACAAAAAAATCCTTAATACTTATGAGAATTAAAGTTATCTTAGAAAAAAATAGTAAGAGTTAGGGTTGATGGCACATGCCTCTGAAGGCAGGTGGATTTCTGTGAGTTCCCGGCCAGCAAGGGGTACTCAGAGAAACCTGATCTCAAAAATAAATAATTAAAAAATAAAAAGTAATATATATATATATATATATGATGGGTATGATGGCAGATACCTTTGATCCCAACGTTCAGGAGGCAGAGGCAAAAGGGTCTGTCTCTGAGTTCAAGAGCATCCTGGTCTACAGGGCAAGTTTGGAGCCCTTCCCACCACAAAATAAGACCACAAAAAATAAAAATAAAAAGACTGTATTTAGAATAATTAAAACGTTAGATGTCATTTGGAAAAAAAGCATAAGGGGACACTGCCTGCAAATCTTCTTAGCCTGCTTCCTCTGAGTTCTAACCTTAAAAGTAGCATAGCTTTTTACATCTTTTTCCAGGTACTGGCCAAGGCCTAATCATGCTTTTCTTGACACTGTGTACTTTCCACTGTTTCTCTGAAGACTCTCCTTATCCCATTAGCCTCCGCCTCCCCCGGCACTCCCTTTGTCCAGTTGCTTACTGACCTGTGTCTAACACTAAAGGCACAACTTTTTCTCCTCTGTCTCCTCTGCCTTCCCAGCAGCTGCTGGGATTTGCAGTTTGCCTTCCCCATTGTTTCTCTCTCCAACTCTAATAATATGGTCCTCAAATTTCACACACACACACACACACACACACACACACACACACACACACACACACGCAGAAAAAAAAAAGGAGAGAAAGGGAGGGAAGGAAGGTGAGGAGAAAGGAAAAAGTAAACTAGCCAGGCA